GTAAAACGCTCCACAACTTCCAGTACCTCTCCCTGGATTTTAAGTTGCGTGTTTAGTGACTGCACGTTCACGAGCATGACCTTACACTTTGTTGGTGCGAATTGCATACCAAAAGACGGGATGACGTTGGCCAGTTCATCCAAGAATACTTGCGCCTTTTCCTTCTTTTCGAAAATGGGAACCTTTTCATTTGTATGGTAGTGACGCACCAGTGTCAACACTGATGTTGCTGCGTCTAATGATGATGATATGATCCTATCACTGCTTACCTCGACCGGCTTGGTTCGCGAGACCGATGGTAACCGGATAATAACCAGAATATCAATGTAGTAGATCAAGTAGATCAAGACCAGGTAATACTCGGAAAAGGTACTCTAAAATAGTGTTTTCACGCTTACCCTACTATCGTTCGAACAATCCTCTTATTTTGTAAAGAGGGTTCTGGTCAGTTCACACCAAAGAGCGAAGCATTTGACGCGAGGTTCATTCTAGTCGATGTCTGGCAGCAGCGCAAGGATCTGAACATCGGACATTTGACACACAGTGGGAGAGTGCTACCACTACTTCACTAGCGCCTTCAGACTGCACCCGAATTCTCTGAACGGAGGAACGTTTTCACGCTGGACTGTGGTTGGTTTGTCCAATGCCTCAAGCGCCACCGCTCTAGCTCTCCTGATTATCATTTTATTTCCAGAGTTACTCTAGATTTCTGAGCGAACTTCTCTTTTCTAGCGTAGCTGTTTGGATGATATCAGATCGGTTTCACTCTAGGGAACCAACAGATCAAAATGGTCCCTGTTGTTGTCGGACAGCAAAAAACCTGATATTTTATTGCAATCCTGCACGTTTAATCGAACCCTGAATGCTTTTGGTCCGGACATTTTGGTACACTTGATAAGTGATCCATGAAATTCAAATCATATAAAGAGCAGCTTCCATAAAGAGGGATTTTCGAAACCTCATTATTTTCCCCTCATCCTACAGTCACCGGTGGCAGGTGTTCTCATTGCGGCAACATCACATCACATGAACACTCTCGATCTCTTCTGACATCCAGGCGTTTGTCTTTGGGCGACAACGGTTTCAGTCCAGTAGAAAATATCTGTCTGCACTATTGAACGCCATCTAAAACGTGAATTCCCAGCATAGTCCACTAGTAATTCTAACAGAGTTCTTTTTGAGTCCATGCATGAGCTATTCACAGTCCAAGTCCATAACCAATTTGCCAAGTTTATTTATCCTCATTAAGACCTGTCATTTACCCATCATCTACGGTTGCGGCAACAAACCCTACGATTTATACGAACGCCAGTCAAACACTGTCCACTTGTTTGTTCCGGTATATTTGTACTCCACAAGATACAATTCTGGAGGGAGCAACTAAATCAGAATATTTATTCATCTGTATTTGCCCTTCCGGTGACTAGTTATGAATTGTCATTATTTCATCAGCCAATATGTCCGCAGGTTCTTCTTGGTTGACGGTTGCTTGTAACTGGAATTCCCCATATTAGGAAGACCAGCAGCATCAAAAGTTTTTGCCAATGAAGCAAGAGTTTTGCATTACATTTACTCCGTTATTCTGCCACGGTGCAAATGTGCTTGGTGAAGAAAAGCAGTCTGCAAATTGATATGCCGGGATACTTGTCTGAATCCCTCTTTTTTGATATTTTTCAACTCATTGCGCTGCATGATGTCTACCTTGCGTCACAATTGGGACGGTATTAAACATATCAAAGTATTTTCTCTTGTGTGACACTGGTCACCTTAGTTTGAAAATGAGTGAGTGTCTCCAGTTTAGCATCCAGATAGCCAGTGTGATTGATTCAACTCCGGGGACTGATTAGCTCAAAATGTGCTGGACCAGTGGTAGGCCGCCCAAGAGCTTTCTTCAGCCCCTGTGATAGTATCACATGGAGGAAGGCACTTTCACTGTATTGTTGCCGTTTTTGGTTTCTACGTCTTCGCTCAATAAATAAATAACTATAATAATCGTTCAGCCGTAATGCCCTCTCGGTGCCTAGCTGTTCAGCCGTAATGCCCTCTCGGTGCCTAGCTGCTATACCACCCGAAGGAAGCACGAGGGCTCAGCTACTGTCAGGTCGCTAAAGCCTAGACACTTAGCCTAGTCACTGCTAAACTGTTTCACGCATTAGCGATACGTAACGTTTGTTATCGTGTTTAATCTATGATTTTCAGTGATAGTGAAGAAAAATTATATGTACCTGTCTAAACGGGCATGATTCTTGATCTCCAGTTGGAACTTAGGTACAGAGAAAATGCAGCTCTTGGGAAGTTGATTTTCTTGCACATGGTTCTGAATTCTGATACATTGAGTTCTGCCACAGGGGTTTCTCCGCAGTGATGCATAGACGCACAGTTTCGTGATAAATTGTTGTTACTTTGGCTTAAGTTCAAAGAGATATCGCTTTCCAATGATTTTATTTGGCGTAAAAGGCCTCCTAAATCACTATTGGTCGGACAATCCGTATTAGGTTCCAGCTAAGACTTCCGTTTTCCGTCCCTCACAAACTGTTTACTTTCTTGTTTCAGCTTTCCACTCAGTCACGTTTAATTTGATGGTGTTCATTTTGGCCTGAAATATTGAAGTTATCAGCACAACAGCCCGGATCTGGCATTGATTTCGTCCTACATTATCACACTGACGACAATGGACTGTTTTGTACACCTATAACAAAAAAATGAGCTTTCTATGGGACTCGTTCATTTTACTGTTTTCCCAACTATGTTTCTTTCTGGTGGGTTGGCTATTCTTCTTAAGGCAGCTCTTCAGAGACTACGAGGTGGACAGTAAAATTGTTGTGATAATATTTTCACTTACATTTGCCCTTTCATGTACGCTATTTGAACTAGTGATTTTCGAAATCCTAGACATATTCGCTGCCTCATCCAGACGGATCCATTGGCAATTGGTGCTGTTCGCCACTTTGTTGGATGTTATCTTTGTTATCCCGTTCTACATATCGTTTTACTCTTCTAAAAATCTCCGATTTTTCCCCCAAACTCGGTCATTTCGGCTTGCGTTCACCATGACTGCAATGGTGGCATATTTATACCTGTTCTGGAAAGTGGGGAGTTCATTTCCCATCATTAGCCCGAAACATGGCCTTATATCTTTTGAACAATGTACCGGCAGGATAGGGGTCATCGGTGTCACCATTATGGCGCTTCTGTCCGGATTTGGTGCGGTCAATTATCCCTATACCTGTATGACCTATTTTGCGCAATCTGTCTCAAATGCAGAGATCAAAACGGCTGAACGACGTCTGATGCAGACGATGGATATGATCTTGGTCAAGCGGCGCCGTCTTGCCTTGGCTCAGTTCGAAGCATCTGTCCGTGTGAGTTTCTGAATCGTGCATGTTTCTAACATGCTTTACTTTCTTGTGCTTGGTGTCACTATATTCTTCTCGTAAGCTTGTATTGATAGAAGTAAGGTGTAAATCAGCATCACCATCTCCGCCGTTGTGGTTGTGGAAAAGATAATCACCACTGACTGTCACTCCCAACTCTCATCAACCTCTCTACATTACGGACTATTTCTTGTCATAAGATTACATTATATTCAGCCTTATAACCGGTCAGTATCTTGAGCAGTCGTTGTTAGTGCTGGTGCATAAATTCGGTTCATTTCCTTGATTTCCGACTTTGCTGCCTTCCGGTTTCCATGGTCCATGTCTTACAAGGTTCAAGAGATGTGGTATTTGACTTTTTAACTCAGTTACGCAGACTCACCACTTGTTTCGTCATTTTCGGCTTCTGCCTGTGGAAGTAATGTTCCACTCCTAATTTTGTCAACTATTTTGACAGCATTCGAACGAACGTGGCTCGAGAGCAGCGGAAGCTGACTAATTTCTCTATCCGAAATCAGAAATCTGGACACTTGGGATTGATGAAAATAGCAGCATGCGAACTTAAGACCGTGTTATGTGTTTCACACCACTCCGTTGGTTATCAGATTGCTAGACGATGATTTGAGACAGCGTGGCCCTATCTTTATCAGGCTGCCTATGAGTTGTCCACCGGGAGGGTTCCGTATGTACCGGTCGTGGGCTGTCGAGAGTTTTTAGCAACCTTACGTGTAGTGTATTGCGTCTTTACCATTTATCGTGGCATCTCGAATGTCGTACCAGCTGAAACATAAGGCGGCCTTGTGCAGCGCATTTGGTTGCTTAAAAGCATCATAAACGAGAGATTCAGCTGGGTTTCAGGTGAATCTCTCGCAAAACAAACTTTGTTTGCAAACGTGTTTTTCGCTATCTTGCTTTTGTTTAATTATGCACACCAGTGACGTAAATAGGTTAGGCGATGTGTTGGACTGTTGACTTGACGATATCGGAGACACACACTAGCCACACCCTGTGTTTCAGTGTTATAGGGCGTAAGTTTTACTGTACCAGTTATTTTGGCTTGGTGTACAGGTGACGGTCTGTTCGCAGCTTATTAGACCAGCTAATTAGTGAAAAACTTGATTTCTTACGCAACTGGGCCACACTGTTAAGGTTGCGATAGCTCAACGTCGTTTGACCAGCCTCAGCTACTTACACAACAGTGTCATTGTACTGTTTAGCTAATCTGCCTGGGTTACACAGGACAGTGCCGCGTGATAACCATACCTTGATGTACCATTGAAGGAAATGAAGTGACCAACAGGTAGCAGTCCCGTTACGTGTCCGTTTTGCGGAACGCGTGCGAGCGCCGTTGAAATTGCCATCAACACGATGACGTGGGCTTAAAAGTGCTTTTGAGTGTGTTTAGCAAAGTCGCGTACTTACACAAGTTGGGGTGTGCCTAGTGAGACGTCTGCCACACGTCAAAACATGTCTGTCACCGAGTGGAAAAATGGGGATTGTCCATCAAAGCAAAAGCCCGCTGGAACCTGTTGGAATATTGCTTATTTGGCTGGTGCCGATCATTCTCAAGTGCGGTTAATACCAATACATCGGAAATATGTCAAAGACGAATAAACCATGGGCAAGCTGTTGAAGACACTCAACTGCAGCTGAATTGTATCTAAATGCTCATAACAATTTCAAAAGATGACTTATTTTCGTATCCACTTCAAAGGAGATTATTCTTTTCGAGGGGCAATTTTGTAGCCCAGTGTTTCTTGAAAGGCGAAGTGTTGTGCCACATTACGAAATAAACCTGGAAGTCAAACCTCTATTTCCGTAAACCAAGCCGGATAACGGGTGCGGACTACGTGACATTCTGGCCACAGAACGTGCGGGAGATGTTTCTGGCAAATGTACAGCCTCAGATTACTTGAAATCTTCCCGACTACGTGACATTCTGGCCACAGAACGTGCGGGAGATGTTTTTGGCAAATGTACAGCCTCAGATTACTTGCAAATCTTCCCTTGCATCCTAGGACAGAAGTAGCAAAATCAGCCCTCAGAAGAAAACCTCGCTACGGAAGTTCGCCTTGCCTTCTTGTGCGGATATCTGAGTCGACTGCCACACAAAAACAGCCGATATCGTTATCAGTTTCTACCCAACTGCCTCATATCTATGGAATTCTATGTTGTCTGCCGCTATTGAAAGAAGCGATTTCGGACTTTTAGCACAAGTGTGACTTGTGGTAACGCTGCAATGGAGAAACACATGATAACTCATTATTTATTTGATTCCCAGTATATAGCACTCGTAGTCGAGCAGGCGTATTTCCACTTTTGCTCCATACTGGAGTCTAGCTATCCAGAACAGAAATTCATGTGCCAGGCTAGAGGACTGGCTCCAACGACAAGCATGTCGACGGATCTTGTTAATTCAGTAGTATGTCCCAGTTCCATATATTCACGGATGAAATGCTTAGTTTAATCATACTGTGACATGCGTCACTGAAATCATCTAAAGTCACCGGGTTTTCCATTAACCAGATGCAAAAGGCGCAAGAGACGCTTCATGTTTATTCTCTCAAGAAGCCCTACCTTCCTTCAAAGATGGCATCGTATGTAGTGTTCTGTCGTGGAGTGAGTGCGCTATTTGCAGACGACAAGGAATTTAGTAGAGCGAAAATCACAGTACTTTGTAATGGAACCTAAATGAGGGTAATCTCTCTGTGGACCAGCTCATAGTAGTAGCGTGTTCTACAGTCTGCCGCTGAAAACCACATCTCCGTCTCTTATTGGTCCCTTTCTGAAGGTTCCCGTGGGTGGTTATTGATGATGAGTTCAAGTGTACATACGGTATATCTCGTGATTTGTCTATGATGGTAGCGAGCATTTTTTCCCCCAGTGCCATCAAGTGAGATCGCATTTCGATACAATTAGCGAGTTCTGGTGATACGGACGAAAAGTGGTCTCTGAAATGGTTTTTGCAGTTGAAATACACACTAAGGTATCTTGTTGTATCTTCTTGTAACGAGAAGTCAAGCAGTTAAGCTATTGAAACACGATTTGCGCGCGTGATCCAGTTTCTGTGCCCGTCTCGCCTTGTGATTTTGATGCAGTCCACTACCACACATTCGCTATTCATATTTCCTTGATATACCGGTGTTGTGGGCTTAGGGGTTGATTGATGTACCTAAATATCTCCGATTTCTATTCGTCATTCATCCTTGTTTATGACTGAATGAAGAAAAACCTTGCTGCAGCTATCCATTGAATATATTTGCCGTCCGACGTTCTTGCGTGGTTGCCAGTTATTCAGCGAGATCTTTTGCACCTACTGAGTGGTTGTTGCCTCCTGGTTAAATTGATATTCATCCTGGGGCAGCGTTTTCGTCGGTGCTGACTTGAACGTACTTTTGAGGTCTTTGGTCGCCATACGGCTCCTCACATTCGTGGGGTTGATCTTTCCGGAGGAGAGCAACCGTAGTTCGGCGTGCTTGAATAGCTCCTACTAACAGTTCACGTTTCCAGCATGATAGTACTTCCAGGACCGTAAAGTCCTTTCTCCATAGATAAATTTCTAGAAGAGGACCAATGTAACATTCTCATTACCTTTTCCAATCAATCGAGCAATTAATTGACAAGTTTATTACTGTACACGTCCCTACTATTTTGAACTACTTCTGTATCACAGGGCCACGGTGGAGGAGGATTTCACCCGTTTTGTGAGGCAACAATCTACAACACCCGAATGATTAATCCATCCTTTATTGCAGGATTCCGCTCGACTTTGGTCGGACAAACTTCAGTATCCAATCGATCTAGTTGTATCAGCGGTACCTGGTTGAACATATTATCTATTCGTAAACTAAATCTCTAAGCCACTGAATGGCCGTTTGGGCATTTCTCTAGTTCTGGTTATATGAGTATTGTTTGAATTTTCAACGCAGATTCCGCACTATTCTGTTCGGGTTTCTCTCTGCTTACATTCTTTGTCTCAATAAAACCTCTCTGTTTTGTTCACCTCAACAATGACTATCTCACTATACAACGAACCCTTCTGAGATATGTTGTCAACTTCATGGAATGAATGCCTAGCTGCCTGGGACCAGAAAGCAACAGTTTGAAGGAAAGCCGGTTCTTTCAGGATAAATTTATGTACACCTTATGTAGCGTTCAATAACCCCGGACTACTACTTTTATGCGACCTTTACGGTGTGCAAAACTGTTTCGTCATACTTCTAGGATCTACAACATAAGAGTCTTTGTATTAGTTCAGGGGTTATCACTGCTCATGTGGGATTGTTGTTTCCATGTCACAACGCCAACTTCTGTTTGACTAATTTTTTGTTCCAGACTCAGGCTTCTGAGAAAAGTCGGCTGTGGAATGTCTTACGTTCTGTGGGTAACTCCATCTCTACTTCCAGGCTAAACGAACGTGCACTACTGGCAGAAGTACGTTTCCCGTGAGCTGTTTTTCTGAGCTTGCACATCTGTCCTATTCGATGTCATATTTCGGCTAAAATCCACTTCATGTGCTTCACTGTACGTGTTTGCACATGGCTTTTATAGTGATAATGGTGCCGAATGGACGCGAAAACGTTCCAGTCCATATCTGTAGTATGTCGAATTTGAACGAGGGGCACTTACTTCACTACGTGGCCTAAAATTACTGATAGCTGCTGTAAATGCCAACTTTTTCAACTTCACAGTGCAGTTTGTAGAATAGGATAGGTAATTGCAGCACTTTAATTAGAACATCTTGCAGACATTATTGGTACGTACCTTAATGAAAACGAACATGCGTGTCAGCCAGCTGTTTGAAACTGATGGGTTCTGCTGCACCATGCTCCTCATGCAGATACAAGACGGGCCAAGATCCTAACAGTGTGTACGAGAAGACGTCTCTGTGGTGATCGGTTTTTTTTTTTGTGAAGGAAATTAACCGGAGAGTCATCTGACAGCTTTGAATAGTGAGAGTCATTTTGCCCAGCAGTTTTTCTAAACGTGTCAGGTGTTCTGACTTCCAGTGAGGTGTTTATTGCATATGTTCATTCTCCTAGTCAAACTCGAATACCAACCGCACAATGCCTAGCAAAAGATCATGGTAACAAAAAGGGTCTTAATAGATGTTCGGAACTGGCCGAATGCCGAACTGTCTTCGCGCTTGTCGCATCTGTAAGGGATGTCCTAACAAGAACTACGGTGTAAATGTTGTGGCCTGAAACAGGCTAATGAACGGCGTCCCGTAGTGCTGCATTCATGCCAATGACATCAACCGCGTCAGTGACATCTAACGGGTTGGTGGCAAATATGATCGTTGTTTCAATGTGTTCCTTCGAAGGCGTGTGAATCAGCCACTTCTGTACTCCACAATAGGCTCTAAAGGAGACGCTCAAATATAAGGAGTTCGTGATGCAGAAAGTGTCCACAGATGCTGAGGGGAATACTCTATTTTGTATGACTTATAAGGAAACTTGGTAGTCCGATTTAACTGAGGGTGAATTTTTAATTCTGGAATACATTTTTAAAAGGTGCAGGCTTTCCAGACTGACTACCTTTATCTTCCGCTTCGTGGAAATGTCCATTCTTCGCTGGGAAGCGCACTATCGAGCCGTTTCAAGTCCCCAAAAGACAGTTGGTACACAGTCTAGAAACATTGATCTGAAGTAGTGTCAAAACAGCCTGGTTTATCTTTGCTTCGTTTTTATGACAAGTTCAAGTGGAGGATCTTCTACCCCTAGAGGGCTGTTCGGGTATGACTATTCAAAATTTTCGAATCGCAGAGATGTGAGACGTTACAGCACTGAAAGTTATGGTTGGTTCCTGTTCGTTACCTCCCTATTGTTTCGATCGTTTCGTGTCTGTGCAAGGTTCGTCCTGCGGCATGAGATTTCCTATAGACTGCGCAGCTCTTTTCTAATATTTTGGATGTACCCTTAACAAACAGCTGGAATGCTGTCAGCTGGGAACAATGCTTACAGTGACTTCTACTTTTGAAATTCGCAGTTGCCTACTGCTTGCGTGAACAAGATGTTCGCAAGCTTTGTCGACGAGTCCTTTCGCTCTCTATCTCAGAAAGTTGCCTGTCTTTGGTATTTTTATTGCGCTGGCAACAAAAGCTAGGCTTAAATGACTTAACTCATTATGCTGAAGCGAGTCTTTAAAACTTCATTGCCACTAGCGGCTCCTCTGTTCCAGATCCGTTCGGTGAAGTTTTTCCGTCTGATTTTAGTATGAATTTGTGTCTATCCATTTCGAATTCTGTAGTGCTCAACGATCTCCCTGTCCCGTTTAGTGTGATCCACTTTCCCCCTTCCGGAGACAAGTCTCTTTTGAGAGGTTCATTCAGATTGATTGTTCGACGGCCTCCTACTGGTTTTCACTTTACCCAGTTGACACATGGACTTTTCACTTGATCTACCTGCAACCGCTGGGTTGGGTACTTCAACCAATAGTAACATTTTTGCCGTGATAAACAATGAAATATCACATTAGCTGTTCATTCTTGTGCTAACATCATCCTATGAGAGAAATTCCTTGACACTCCACGCCGCAGGGGTTCAATTTAGCTTCCTCGGATCCGTTGGGTATGTTGGCTATCTAGATCAGTCGTTTATCCTTTCTGCCTAGCCTAGTCATTTTGACATCTGCCGGCGCATCACATGTTAGCGGCGCCTCAGTCTGTGGCCTGACTTGATGACAATCGGTTGACAACACTTGGTTGTTTTGGCGAAACTTGGAAACTGTGCCACCTGTGGTCAGGTTTTTTCTATGACGTCTGTGGCCTGACTTGATGACAATCGGTTGTTAGTTCTGCCGCGTTGACAACACTATTGGTTGTTTTGGCGAAACGTGGAAACTGTGCCTCCTGTGGTCAGGTGTTTCCTATGACCCACCACATGGCGTCGATACCAACAGCACCACAATCCGCTGTTCCTTCTGTCGTGGCTATTCAGCTCCAACTTCCCTAATTGACTAGGTGGGCTGACCACTTTCAACCAGCCTTACCACATGCCAACCGTGACACTGGAATCAGATTAACATCCCGTAGCCTACTTGGTCTATTAGCAAGCTAGTCAGTGACGTGGTGTGATTTCATGAGCAGCTGTTTATTTTGCCCCAACCACCATACCTATCTATCAATGGTATGCGGGCATTTGAGCGATGTTGTCTTACTCGCTGGAGCCTGTTGATGGTGGTAAATAGCCAAGACGTTGGCTTTATCACGGTTATATTGATTTTAACGAAAGAACCACTCTTCACAAACAGTTGGTAGCTAATCGCCATGGCTAAAGTGGTGTTCCCTGTTGTGAGCACCCGTAAGTTTTCTGCGGTAGGCAGTCTAGGGACTTCAATGACATCAATAGTATTTTGGTCTCGCCCTGTCTTTATCTTCTATCCTCTCCTTACAGGTATCGACCTTGGAAGATCTCAGTCGTCAACTCTTCCTCGAACTTCACTACTTAAGAACCGCCCAAGAGCGCATTGAGTTTTCACGCACATTGAAAGGCAGGTACTTCAACCTGTTGGGCTATTTCTTTTGTGGCTATTGCTTTTGGAAAATATTCATATCCACCATCAACATTTTGTTCAACCGAATTGGACGTCAAGACCCAATAACCCAGGGCATTACAATTGCCGTCCACTATTTGGGATTTGAGTTCAACGTGAAGTTTTGGTCCCAACAGTTATCATTTTGGCTTGTCGGGATCATTGTGGTCACTTCCATTCGAGGACTACTGATTACCCTGACCCGGTTTTTCCATGCCATAGCCAGCTCAAACTCATCTGGTGTGATTGTCCTTATTCTGGCACAGATCATGGGCACCTACTTTGTTTCATCCGTTCTACTTTTACGAATGAACATGACTGCAGAATACCGCAGCATACTCACTCAGGTTCTTGGTGATCTTCAATTCCATTTCTATCAACGCTGGTTTGAAGTCATCTTTCTTGTCAGTGCCGTTTGCAGTATTGGCTTCTTGCACATGGCTCACAAGCGAGTTGCGGAATTGAAATCTGATTATATTTGATACGTGTTACAACTAATGGCATGGCTTTTCTTAGCCCCATTTCCACGTACCCGCCCTCCCTTGTTGAACAAGAACCACCACCCGTTAGCTTTCCTGTTCACTTTAATTCACACATGTTCTGATTTATTTTCTTGAAGAGAATATGTATTTTGTGACTACTATTCGTTGTTTCGCCGGGACGCCTTCTATCGCAGTCATGTGATCCATATTTTAGTAGCTCAGTTATTGATTCTCACTTGCAATCCTCAGCCAGCTTAAGCCATGATTTCTATGACTGGAACCTCTATGTGCTGCCAGGAATTAGCACGGTGGACGGTTCATTTCAGCACTGTTGCATACAGAATGGACAAGTTGTTGGATGTTCGCAGCGCAATTCGGGAAACGTCTCTAGGGCGTAATGCACTCAACCATTTCGTAAACTACCTGACCTGAACTCGGATGCTGAAGAACTGATAGGCTACCAGAAACATTCATATGGTAACGTACCAGGCGACGGGGGGTTCTGCAGCTGTCTACACATTTTACTACCATCTCTCCCACAAGCTAAGACCAATGCTTAAGTGACTGTAGTCGTTGGAAAATGGAGTTCCACGCTGTACCTGCCACCCAATGTGGCAATCATCTGTTGTATGCATTCGAGTTCAACTGATTTCTAAAATCGATCGATTTTGTAAAACTGTTGCTTGACCCCCTCATTGTAATTGTATATGATCGTGCTATCAGTTGTTGGTCTTCTGATATTCTCTCAGAACACTCATAAGGATATAATAACTGGATAGGGCTATTCCGTTGCGATGCTGCGCTTAATGGCCTGGAAGGTGACACTGGTCAGAGCTCCATTTTGCACCACTGTCGATTCCCCATGCAATTATGCGTGCAAGCAAACTGTCGATCAGCGATTGGAAATCAGTTATAGTGTTACTTAGGCACCGTTCTTTCTCAACTGGTTGGAAAAGCTGTAGATCCGGCTAGATATGGTTGACGGGGAGTGTCGCGCCTGCGGTCAACACATTAAGGTCTTAAGCCATCAGTCTCCTGTGCAATTGGATTTCAGATTCTCTAGGCCTTCTGACCAAAAGCACACAAAAAGACATAAGAATGAAGAGTTACTGATGAGCAACCAGGCAAGCAGAAGCAGATCGCTCAGTAGTTGGTATTTTTTCTGCTCACAACTACCACAGTTTCGATTTTGCGATCCCGTTTGATGAGTTCAAGTTTTGCGTGACGCTGGCCTGTCGTACTATTCTGCTGTGAATGTTGAGGTGTCCTTAAACGATTCCTTGAAGTAACGTTGTGAAAATGAAGTACCTGGTTATACCAATGGCATGCGTTTGTCACAGGTTTAACCGTCGTATGACGGAACGGCCGCTGGTTTGCGAATCCAGAGGTTGTCGCTATCGGGATACACTTAGTTTAAAATATCGTATTTTCGGGATGGCCTTTGGTCAAATTCGCAATTGAAATATTTATTTTTCAGGCTATCGTATTTCCTTTCCACAAGGAATATTGCACCGAACGTTTTTTAAAGGGCGTTTGAGGTCTTTTCAAAGTCATTTAAAACGAGCTTTGTTTGTGCTCGTGTTGCACAATACGTAGTCCAGGTGGACACAAAACTGTATGTAGACGAGGCTGAGAAACAGCTGAAAAAGACGATCGGTTCGTTCAACGTCAGAAGCACGGTATCGTCAACCCACGGGGAGACGACCTCAAGCCCTAGAAATGAGTCGTTGACACGCTTTCGCAATTTACTTAGGGACTCACAGCAACCGAAACGACGTTACTCTACGCAACACAGCAGTAGCCGCAGTGGGTGCTAATAGAAGGTATTTTCTGGGGTGCCGCCCGAAGCGATTACACTTACAGGCTACCGGATAATCTTATAGTCCATGGCCGCAACATATGTGTAAGTTTTATTTCGCTGCTGCAATGCGGTCAGATGCAAAGCAATGAAGGCAAACCCTCCAGAGTTAGTGGTGTAGCGTTTCCATACCTTACGAGCGGCTTTGAACGTGTAGTCTCATCCGTGGACTGAGTGGGATTTACGTGTTCTGTGCGCACTCGTTACGAAGCAGCACTTACGATCACATACGGGCACGTAAGGTGCGCGAACGGGAAATCATGTGGTTAGCGTAGATCCGTAGTTCGACCAAGTCCCAACGGATCGCAGCAATGTCCATGGTTGAGTTGGAAAGTAGTGCAGTGATTTCGTTTTCGGTGAGCCATCGAAGCAATGTTATGTCGTGACCCCCTGTTAAGTCTGGCGGTACATCCAGGTAGCTAAAACGTTTTGGTACGAGTCACCGGTGAAAGTACCGGATCAGACAATGTGTAAGTCTTGAAGAAAGTTCGTAGTATCTACTGCCCGCCAAAAATTCTTACTCTGTTGGGCCGACAGGGGACCTACTAACACTATGAAAATTGTGGCGCGATTAATACGGTATTTTGTAGCTCGTTACGTGTCCTGAAGCTGGACAGATAACAAGGGGAATTACTGCTGGCCACCGTTGATTCGCAGGGGAAATAAACACTCCTCAAGCCATAAGTTCACGTGGAGACGGAGCCAGCAGACTGATCAGCCACTCTATCTGTCCGCTCCTCGAAGTAATCACCATCCTGGCCGGAGGCCTCCAGTAGGTAGAGTTGGCGAATGACTCGACATAATGTCCCCCGACCTGTTCTTACGATCGCTTCCCTGACTGACCCATCGGTCGACTGAACTGCTCTTTCGACAATGACTTTCTCGCATTGCCGTCTGGGTATAAAGATATCTCCCCATAAAACGAGGTCGCCTTCATTCAGACTCCTTCCTTGCTTAATCCACCTTGATGTCGTATGCAAAGTTGGAAGATACTCCTTCATACACCGGTTCCGGAATAGTTCGGCTAGGTGGTTGGCATGTCTCCAGGCTTTAGTTAGATTCCGTGAGTCGACACAATGGCTAGCCGTTGAAGGATTCGCGCTCAGATGCAACAGGTGGTTTGGCGTTACGGCGTAGTCGTTGGGGTCCGAAGTCAGTTTTACTAACGGGCGGTCGTTGAGGGTTTTTCGATCTCAGGTTGGCGAATGACTCGACATAATGTCCCCCGACCTGTTCTTACGATCGCTTCCCTGACTGACCCATCGGTCGACTGAACTGCTCTTTCGACAATGACTTTCTCGCATTGCCGTCTGGGTATAAAGATATCTCCCCATAAAACGAGGTCGCCTTCATTCAGACTCCTTCCTTGCTTAATCCACCTTGATGTCGTATGCAAAGTTGGAAGATACTCCTTCATACACCGGTTCCGGAATAGTTCGGCTAGGTGGTTGGCATGTCTCCAGGCTTTAGTTAGATTCCGTGAGTCGACACAATGGCTAGCCGTTGAAGGATTCGCGCTCAGATGCAACAGGTGGTTTGGCGTTACGGCGTAGTCGTTGGGGTCCGAAGTCAGTTTTACTAACGGGCGGTCGTTGAGGGTTTTTTCGATCTCAGCCAAAGTTGTCTGCAGCGTTTCGTCGTCTACCGGTCTGTCTCTTGAGAGGGCCCGCAAAACCCGCCTGATACTCCGTATCAAGCTTTCCCAAATACCTCCACGACGACTGGCTTTTGGTAAGGAGAACACCCAGTCGCATTCGCGCTCTAGCAGCTTGGACTCCGAATTATCCTGGTCCCATTTACGAAAATATTCCTTCACGTCAGCTTCGGTCCTTTTAAAATTGTTGCCGCTGTCACTTTAAAGCTTTAAGAGACAGCCTCATCTGACGACAAAACTCGAGAACGCGCATTGGAGTGAAATCCTAGGTATCGGCCACCTCAAAGTGAACGACACGGATGGTCATGCAAGTGAACACACAGCCATGTCGTTGCTCGGCACCGTTTCCTCGGCTGACTAACAGATACCCGAAGAAATCTACCCCGGTGAATGCAAATGGTCTACGACTGCTGTTGGTTTGTTCAGTTGGAAGGGGGGCCATTATTTGGTAGCAGGGCGGCAAAAACCATCGACGGCAGTGACAACAGGACCAAAGGACGCACCTGCCGGCGGCTTGTCTCTACACAATCCAATATCCGTTGCGCACAGCTGACAGCACTTGCCCTACGCCCATATAGCCATAGCTTTCGTGGTAATGTTTTATGATAAGTGTATGTGACGAACTGTCTCCTTGGCAGTATAATAGGGTGCTTAGACTCGAAAGGTAAAGCAGCTCACCGGAGTCGAACTTCTACGCGAATTATACCGTGATCGTAGAAGAGATCCAAGGTACGAATTGAACTGGCGGACGAGACTAATGTACGCTTGACACCGTCGGGTTTCTTGCTCAGAATGCAGGGCTCCTCTGGGCACGCGGTCCCCTGAACTTACATTAAAGCGTAACTTGATGAATTCATTGTCTCTTGTTGACGAGCAGGGTCGGTCATGGAGCTGGTTTGTATTCCGATAAGAGTGCAAAACCGTCTGAGCCACGCAATGGCCCTCAAGATCTTCGTCCCACTGCCATAGGGACTCAAGTTATCCATCCAAGATAATGATAATGATAATGATAATGTTTATTCCCAACTTGTTGGTGGCATGCCGTCTGGCATGATCATGGGTTGACAGTCAGATTGGGGCATGACTGAGGGATTTGCGGGTAGTGGTGACTGCGCGAAAAGGGGGGAAATGTCACAAACAGTGGGAGGTACTCGATTAAATAATAATAATATGTTTCTTTTGCAACTTGTAGGGAACAATATGCATGAAGTCCGAGTTATTCGGTGACTCAGTTGGCTGACATGAACTAAAACTTGAAGAGCATTGCTGGCCATGGGCGACCTTGGGCGGTTGGGTAAATGGCCGGAGTGATGACGAGCAAAAGTGGAGGTGGAGATGCGATAATTCGAATTCGGAGAACATGTGCTATCAAGCTGAGTATGGCAGTGCCGTGCCATCATTGGCCTGACATGCTTCAATTTTTGGACAGCCCCGTGACGGACGTCACATTTGAGATGATTCGTCTTGGGTATGCAGTTCATTGAGCAGCGGTATTCATTTCAGCCTGGTTGAGGAAACAAGATGGAACGAAGCCGATATGGGACTGCAGGTTTTCTTGGTCCGCTTGGTGATCCCGGATTTG